TAAAAACGAATCTAAAAAAAATTTTTTTTTTTACTAATTCAATAATGACACTCACCGAAATATCATATCACTTTGGTATAATCATACTATTATATGCGTATATTTATAATACTTTTAGATCACATACACATTTCACGCATGAACATTTTCTAATGGCTATGGCATTAAACATTTGCATCATCTAGCTATGAATGACAATGGGTTTATATCGCAATGGCGGAATAGGTAGTGTTAGCCTGAGCGGAATATTCTACCATGGAGATGTAGGTCAGTTTATCTGCGTGGAATACTCCATTTATTAATGTCGCAATTTTCTACGCCACTATCTGGGCTAAGAATAATGATAATACAAACACTAACTGTTCTCCGTTTAAAATACCAATATCTAATTCAGATTTTATCTTCCTACGATTGTATTGATTTCAAAAATTTTTCTAGACATGTTTACAGTTAAATTAGAATGTAGGATGTGTTTATGCAAAATGTTTACGGAAGATGTCAACTAATATTGACAAACTTATTTTTTAAATGTCAAATCAGTGCATGCATATTGTGCACTGCTAAAGCTCCTGTTTATCACTGCTATCTCAGCTATGACGTCAGAAGCAAGAAAATACGCAATAAAAATTCTTGCAAATATATTAACATGGAAATGTTTTAGTAAAACAACATTCACGATAGAATCAATTGATAGAACCAACTTGTAAAATACATCAAAAACTCTCCTCTAGTTTTATTGATTAATAAACAACCATATATAATATTTGGGAATGAATTATGCGTGTACATATAATCAAATGAAATAAATTGTTTATAGAGAGAGACCTACGATAAATAAAATTAATAATATATAAGAAATTAATATGATTTAATTTCTCCTCGAAACAAGAAGATAGTTTTCGATATATTTTATAAATCCATTCTATTGTAATTGCAAACGCGTTTTATTGAAAAATATTTCTATTCAAATATTATGTTTGTGTAAGAACTGTTCTTGTTTGTTTTCTTGCTTTTGACGTCATTTTCTGAAATAGTATATGTAATAGTGTGTGAGTAGAGCAGCCTTAATATTTTTTATTATTATGAATTTTAAAACTTTCGAAAAAAAAAATACAGAGGCATAGAAGTTTGGACTTTTTAACTACCCTATGTTTCATTACGAAAAACAGTAGAACTTTTTGTTCTATTTATTATAACAAAAGTGAGATCCCCAGATCTAATATAGACGAGTAAAACGTCTATAAACGCTGGATCGAAGCGACAACTAATAGTCCTCTCCTATCCTATCTCTCGCGGTTGATAGCAGGCCGCAAAATAATCATAGACGTAACGCTTAAGGAAAGGGGAAACGAGGAAGGTGTGGACAGCACTTGTTCTGAGAGCAGTCTGAGTGGTCGAGCGAAAGGAATGGGAGATCGGGATGATTTAACGAGAGGCGGGAGGAGTGGTGGACGACGAAGATGGTCGTGTGAGCTTGGCGGAGGGAGAAAAATCTTCGAACGAGAAGAAGCGAGAGGGTGAAAGAGACGAGCGGTTCACTCTGGGTGGGTAGAGAATCGAGAGGGATGCAAGCGAGCGTGGGAAGGTAAGGCGACGAAGAGAGGCAGGGTGAACGAATTACTCGTCTGGCGCAGGCGCCATTTTGCAAACACGAACGGCCATCTTGTAATGGTACAACGGTACGCGGAGCTGTGCGGGGGTGGTAGGAAGATAATATAACCATTCCTGGTATCGAACAGCGCTTCAGTGCTTACCGAGACAGAGACAGACGTACGACCTACGATCAGGGGCTGTTCCTGCGGAGACCGCGGTATTAATTCCTACATATTTTTTCCATCGTATTCGATTATCTTGACTTTTTTTCGACCACCACAGACCTGACGGACAGTCTTAGCTTGCGTATCGCCGAAACGACACGAAAACAACGTGCTCGTTTGCAAACGATCCATTTCTCTTTTCATCGTTTTTTTTTCCCGTTCTCCATAAGTGACGTTATTTCCCCGTTAGAGCGATCGTTTCCACAATTCTAAAGGGTCGGACATCGCGATCGGATCGCACAATTCGGACGTCATTGTAGAGAGTCGTACAGGAGAGTCGTACGCTGCAGCTTCACGCAGGATGAATGCACTTCACGGATCACAGCTGTCGTAGGTGCACGTAACATGTATTTGTTGCATCGAGGATGCTGCGTATCTGTTGCAAATTGGGTCATGTCGAGCGGTCGATATCACGTAGCCGGGCTGAAAAACAGCGCGTTGCGTCACCCTTTTTCCCGCACAATGATAATTACATATTTCTGTAACAGACACATTACGCAAAATTAAATCTCTTTCGCGTGGTTAATTTATTTATAAGCGTGTGTAGAAATTACATGTACCTGTTGCATACTGCGTTTTTAATAAGCCGGAATTCACAACGGTTGAAAATAATGCACTACACTGAGTGAAACGTTTTTGCCTAGCAGTATGTTTTACCTAACGTATACGTATACAATTTTGCGGAAATAAAATCGCTTACGGAAGGTACATATTGTCGACGATAGTGTATTACGTTACGTTATACACAACGTAATATCGATTTTTCAAGTGCGACGACAACGGCGACATCATACCAGCGATTTTCGATGCACAAATACGCTTCTCGTCGTACTAAGACTCGTGAACCGCATTTTATCATCTAGTTATCGTCCGATTTACGCAAATCCGAAAGTAATTTAGGAAAATGGATTCTTGATGACCGCGAGCCTGCTAATTAGGAATCCATGTCGTAAGTTACATCGTGTCGCTACCTGTTGCGCATTATACTTCCTGTAGGACGACCATATCGATTATAATACTTTTTTCTCGTATGATCATGCCATTTATAAATAGCTTATCAATCTATTTTGCAGATATTTTATCATTTAATTCCTCTTTCGTTAAAATAATCAAATACAATTTCGTTACATTGATAAATCCTTGAATATCTTGAAAATTAATGGTATAATTAATTTATATTTAAAATATTTTACAATCGATATTATGAATTCTACATTACTTAATTTTATTATCATATTTGAATATATTTGGATAAATTTTAATAAACAATAATTATTTTTGTCGAGAACAATATTTTAATTAATGATTCAATTGATCAATATTGTATCAATAAAATTCAGATAATAATTATGTACATTTCTAAGAATAAATACGTAATGATAATTTGATTTAATTGATACAATATACAACTAGCAAATATACATAGAATATTACATTATTTATTTATCGTTGAATTGCCCTTTTATGAAATAATATTTTTTTTATAATTCTATTCATAAAAGAAACGAGATGTTTTGAAGATTGAAAATAGTTTTGTTACACAATATTAATAAATAAGTTTAGAAAAACGTATAAAAAATAAGAAAAAAGTATACTCGATAGAAGTATTCCGCGCGATATAAATATTTCTTCGTATCCTTTCACATCATTTTACTGTTGTATGTTACATAAAGTGAAGTTCAATTCAATTATACTTCTGTTGTATCATTGCCTAACGCAGAATGTCGTCCTCGTGTATCCTTTAATATGTAGTCCATACAAGCTGCTGTGACACAAGTGGAGACACAAGTGTACGACACGTCGGCAAAATTAATTCTACTTCGTAGACGGATACTAAGTGCCTACCTGTTGCACCGCCTGATAGGACGATCGCGTTTTGAACAGATCAGGAGTGTGGACGAAAGACGTTGGCACTTGGCAAATGAAAAATTTTACGCGCCTACTTGTAACAGGCAGATAGGATTGACTCTTCGCAACTTGTTGCTCGCAATCCTCGGGATTCTCAGCCATTCTGTGACATCAGTAATTTCACAACGAACAGGACTCGTCTTGTTACTATAAAAATATTTCGCAGTCTTAACTTCTTACATGGACAGTTTTAGAACGCGTGTTGGAGAAACTTTTACGTCTTACTTTCTATGTTTTATTCAAGTTAAATTGTTTTCTTTTGCGATATCTGTATGAGAAAAATATTAGAATTTTTATCTGGTATAGATTTTATAGATTTGTAGTTATCTCTACTTCCGTTTATTCTATTCTAGAAATATCTCTTGTTCGCGTCTTTGAACATATGGTGGTTATTGGTATATTTTTACTAGGGATAGCATCAACTTTTTGAATCCAAGCTAGTGTCCTTTTGTTTGATTACACTCCGTACAGCTGAAAATAATGTGTTTGTCTATTCACTGCTGATAGTTATACATCAGTAGGTAGCTTTCAAATACGCGTCAAGGAACGTCGGTGCGAAACTTCAAGATGACTTACTCTGACTTACGTGACAGAGACGCATACTAGCGCACCTGTTGCACGTTAATTCAAGATAAGGGAAAAGAGAAAGGGAGGAGGGGGGGAGGGAAAAAAGATCGCATTGTGTCTCGGTCGAACGTTTAAACAATTTCCTTAGACTTGCGTCTTTGCGCTACCTGTTGCACCGTAGCATCAGCAAATTTAAGTTTTCCGTCAATCTTCATAGTCTTCTTATACTTTGTTTATCGAACTCAACAAATAGCCTTGTAGACTACAGAAATTACCCGGCAACTATTGTTGGCGTTGGCAAGTTAGATTAATAGCGAGTGATATATAATATATTGATTGATTATTATTTACGTAGCAATAATAATTGTTGCAATATAAAATTTAACAATTTTGTATCACATGTTACATCAATTTTAATTAAACGAATAATTTAATATTAGGCTCAAATTAATTTTGTAATATCTTATTTCTTATATTCAAATTAATTTATGTATATATTACATTCGTATAGCATATTGTTTTAAGTAAGTCATGTAATATCTTATTTGATTTTTATATTTGGGGATTGTTTAGAAGCGCTTGAAAATACTGTAAAAAGATTTCAAGTATTTTTAATAGATTTGTAATTTTTATTATTTTATTAGTTCTTTAATTATTAAACTTATGAGCATTTTTATTAATGTGAACTATTTACAGAACGGACAAAAATTACAGACATGACAAATTCGCGAATTTACGGATCGATCGCGATTGGGATTGATATGCCTAATAATTATATTCTGAAATTTTTATCGATCGCGAAGTAATTAATGATATAGTGTTTCATTATCCTAAGTATTTATTATCGCGAGTATTCCACTCTCTTTGAGAACACCACTGCAATCTCGGTGAGTTTAGAAAAATGCATGTATACATATTAGATTTAATCCTATTAGTATTCGCGGGTCTTCCTTCAACTGTGTTATGAAAAATTGTAACAATAATGTTCACAACATTACATAATTTTAAGTTACTTAATCTTATTTTTCGGATTTTAGTTTCTAAAAAATGAAAAAAAATTAATTTTAAGTAAAAATATATTAATTTAAGATATATTAGATTTGGAATACCAGTTATTGAAATTTTATGGAGCGAATACCGATTGGAATGAAGATTTTTTATGTAGAATTAGAAATAAGAGAGCAAAGAATTTTATCATATATAATTTATTATTTTCTTTAAACACACATAATTTTGTAGATTATTTTCTATTCTAGATTTTATTCTATTTCCTCAGGAAATAGTATATTAAGATACATATAGTATGTTAAGATTTATAGAACTTTTTCTAAAAAAAAAATGTGATAAATTACTTTACCGCTAGGAGGAAGTAAGTTAGATTTATAAAGCTAAAAGTGTGTGAAATCTAAAAGCTAAAAATCATCAAAGCGAGCATGGAACATGAACCGTAATGCCATGACCGAAAGTAACCAAAATGGAACGTGACCTCGTGTGATTTTCACGAATCGCATTACAGGTGACCTCTTTTGTATAATGTATGTCATACGTTACCGTTGAAATGCGGCAGTACGATGATCTAGCCTGAAGCTGAAAGCTTTAAGCGTGGCAAGAATAAAAATCGTAAAACGTGAGAGAATAAGGATATTTACGTGTGCGAGATATTCTTCCGTGCGTATTGTAGAATTCTTACGTATCTTGATGTCCGCGAAAGAAAGTGAAACAAATGTCTTTCAACTATGTTTGATATACAGGAATGCCGCAATGAAATAAGGTATACAAAGTGTATGTTTCATTAACTACGTTTTGTGAATATTTTGAACTGCTTTTAAAAGTTTCAAACAAAGTCTATGAATTTTTCTGAGAGTTTAATCCTGGAATGTGTGCTGTAGGTACTCATATTTTTCCTACATTAATATTACTTTAGATGAAAGTTTACTCATATAGTTAAGAATTTTTTTTACACTTGTTACACTGTAAAGTGTACAATTTAAACTTTATGTTTACTTTATGGATTGCAAAGTATTAGAATAATTAAACTAATACTATTTTAATGTATAAAAAAAGAATATTAAACAATTTTATTAAATGTTACTTTAAGCTGTTAAAATTTTAATAATAAAAACTGTAGTAATAATCAAACTTAAAACATAAACAATATATATCATATTTAGAAAATATTTGTAAAATATTTATAAATATTTATAAGATTTATTTTAAATATTTTTCAATATTTTTGTGATTTTAGATTGTACAGATTATAAACACATTTATTATAAATATTATGAAATATTTATTGTAAATGTTATAATAAATGCTATGAAAAAAAAAACTTAATGAGACATTATAATTTAGGTAAAAAATACTTATTAGAAATATTTATTTATATTTATCATAAATATTACATAAAGTATTTATATAACAATTCAAAAAATGAATAGTAATAACATTTATTATAAATATTCTGTGTTGTCTGGGAAAGCATACACTTGGCGTATATTTTTTCTTTTTTTAAAAAGGTTTTTTTAGGGATTTTACTAGCCTATACTAAGTTAGTCCCTCACTTTTTGAATTCACTTATTTTGAGAATTGTGCTGAATTGTGCTAGGTTTGTGCTACATTGTGCTCGAAACAATTCTCAAAATAAGTGAATTCAAAAAGTGGGGGGCTACCTTAGTATAGGTATTTTACTACTTTTTACAAATTTACTTTTTAGATGATTTTTTTGTAAAGCTAAATTTCTAAGTAATTGTTGCTTTCATTTCTTTACATCTCGATTTGTATATATGTATATATTTTTTACTATCTCAGTTCAATGTTATATAATAATGAATATTAGTATATTATATAATAATGAAATTAATAGTGTTGGTAAATCAATGAAAGACACAATTCTGCATTCTCGCTTATTTTTGTAATTGGTTTTTGAAAAGAGCTAGAAACTCATAGATATCGCAAACTAAACGACGATAAAGCCTTTAATTGCGGGAATCATGATTGTCAGGGCCATTTCGTATATGGCGTATACCAAAGGAGCGATTATTAACCACGCCTTACGCTGGCTTGGTCGTTTGACGGAGCTTCATCGGGGAAATTCATTATACGATTAGATAATTAAGTTAATTGACGAAGAGTAATGGAAGGCGGGCGTCTTACTAGTCGTAAATTTTGCGCTGAAACCACATTACCTCTTAGAGAATTATTACCCTCGCAAATGTTCGCTGTTTCATTTACATTCAGCGGAGCAACTTTATTTTTCTGATAATTCATTAATAAGAGGAGTCTACTTCTAAGAGAAAAACCTACTCTTTTTACAATCATTGAACACGTATTTATGGTATATACATATATACGTTGAAATTAGTAATAGATGATATTTAAACGCATCGTTCTAAACAATATGATAAAAAATTGAAAATTTTTTTATACACTCCTTTTTTTATACATATGTATAGCTGTCACATTTATAGTTGCTGTATCTGTCTTTTCCATTGAGTGCGATGAAATAAACATACATGTATGTACATGAATAAAATACAACGAGAAATTATACAATTTGTAAGCTGTGCAATAAACGTTCCGTTGTGTACCTCCAAATTAGAAAATGTACCAAAAGTAAAGATAAAATCGCGATTAGACTTGGCAGTCACGTTTTTCCGATGAACTCGGACACAGCTTGCAGAATCGCGCGTGATTTCGATTCAGATCGCGCGTACGACTGGATTATACATTTATCTCGAATTAGGCAATTGGGAATTGGTTTATCTGTACTTTGGGGCATTTTTTTTTAATCACTGTCGATCTGTCCGAGGCTCGCGCAAAACGATGGCATGCGATTTTCCCAACTGCGGTGTCCTAATAACGACGTTATAGTGTGCAATGTGCACACGGTGTAACCGGATCGCGCGGATGACAATAGTGTCAGGTTAATTCCACTCGGCGGCGACGAAACTCCGCTGGGTTTCTCCTTTTTTTTTTTTATTTCATTCATTCCAACCGAATTGCAATCGGCTCGATTACGAGCGCATTCAGATGCCGGTGCGATGTTCGCCGTGAGAATAACCCCGTCTCTCTTTCTCTCCTTCCTCCATTCTCCCTTATACGTCTATTTTCATTTATATCCGCGCGCGGAAATCACATCGCTCGATAAAACTTTACGCTCGAGATGCGTCGGCACGAGAGTAAATCACATACGATTAATTTATCAGGCATCACGGCCATCAGCTTCATCAGCTATCTCCGCGCTCTGATATTCGTAGATAGGAAACGACATATTGTCAATATCAAATTGTAAGTATTTAATCTTTCATCTGCAATCATATTTTTATTCTCTTCATCTGTAATCTTTTTTTGTTTAGCCCAAATTTTTTTACTGTTCTAGACTTTCAGAAAATTTAGGGTTACTTTTTAATATCTTTATTCCATTACCAAGTAATTTTTTATTGTAAATGTTAAAACCTTTATTTAATAAAAATAGAAATTTGAGTAGAGACAATAAGAGTTTTAAAAAATTATTTTCTGTTCTAACTATTTGTCTATCGTCTGCAAGTATAATAGCAATAAATCTCAGGTTACTAATAGCTCTTAAACACTCATTACGAATATTTAAATTGATAACATAGGAATATAATATATAAGCAAGATCTTAAAAATTTAATGAAAATTCTTGAAAAATAAATTAAAATAAAAATATTTTTCGGTAAAGCAATTGCATTTGATAGAATACGCTTGTAAAATATACCAAAAATTCTTTTGTTTCGGAATAGAATAACATTATATTTATTTCAATTCGACCGCTGTCGTATAGCTTGTTTCGTTATTTGATTAGATATAATTCAATTTCAAATATATAGTTATTTATCGATTACCGGAATACAAGAGGCAGTATATATCTTATGATATGTATACATCTTATAAATCAATTTTTATCGATATTGCAAATGTTGTGTTTTGAAAAAATATTTACCTATGCACTTTAATGTGCAAGAATTTCCTTTATGTATTTTCTTACTTTGACATCGCAATCTATAAAATAGCTACAGTGAGTAGGCAGAATCTTCATGAATCAGACTAATTTTTAAACACTCCAATATCGTTTATCCAATATACAATACAATTATCCAATATATTTAAGAGAAATGCAAATAATATTATTATATATATATTTTTCGTTTACGTGAATATTATTAATGCGAATACGTAATGTTTTCTTAATTCTGTTCAATAGTCAAGTTAATCTAAAATTTAAAAAATTAATTTTTTTACTAAAATTTTATTTAAAACCATTTTTCTTTGATATTTAACTTCGTCTGTTAATATGAGATCTTTTTTCTGTGAAAAAAAATTTTATTTTTTAAGGTTTTTAGTCATATTGACCAAAATGATACATATAACAAATTTGAACAAATCAGCAGGGTTGATTTCGCATTTATGATTATCTCTATTAGCGTATACAATCTTCATACAAGAGTGTATGGAGATATTTTATCCTGGTATAATTCCCGGTTTCGAGAATAGTGCTTTTCATTGCCGCTGCGATGCCAGTTTGCATTTTCGGCGTAAATGTGTGCATCATAGTATAACCTGGTAGTGTATGCATATATGTATATATATGCGAAAAATATATATACATATACCGTTCGTATGCCTGCACTCGTATGCCTGCCAAATACACTCTCCCAGACACATACCACTATCCAGGATATATGACATCATTATTTCCTGTGTGACTTATCTTTATCTCTCAAATTGGGACGAATCACATTGAGTGCATAAAAAGCAGTGCATCAGCCGGCAATGCTCGTTTTATCACGGAAAAAGTAGAACAACCCTATTACTACGGCAGCCATTAAAAATGTGATTTACGAGCGCAATATTGATTGTCCGTAAA